AAGGTAATGAGTCTAAGAAATTGACATATTGAGGTCATGATACTTTCTAAGGGATTGGAAATGAATGTGTTATAAGGAGAACAGGTGGGTTCCAACAAAAGTGTACTTCTAGGTAGATGAGGCTGGATTACTGGTAGCTTGGAGGTCCAAGGGGTCCCAGGTACCTCTTTGTAGCTGTGTTCAATGACCTTATATTAGATGCTTGAAATTATCAATAGTGGGAATAGTTAAGCTCAAAAATCAGCAAATCAGATGTCCCACCCACCCACCAAGGTCTGTGAGCTAAGAACTCTTGAACCATATAAAATGGACAATAAGCAAGCCATAACTGACCTACAAAAACAACAACTTCAGATCTTGGTTTTGAAACACGATGAGTTTCTTTGAGCTAAGTAGAACTTCTAGAAGGATGTCACTCAGGCACTTTTGAAGTTACTGGATCTGGGATATGCATTCCCCCAGGGCCATGTCTGTCTATAAAAAGAAGAGAATTGAACTAATTTACCAAACAATTCAAGCAATAGGAAATGTTTTAGCATGTTGTATCTTGAAAATAGGAAAACCCAAAATGTCACACTAGGTACAAGAGTATTTTTTGGGAGTAGTTGAGGGATACCCCCACCGCCCCATATTTTATTTCCCTGGACATTCTTAGGGTAACTTATGTTCCAGATCACCAAGGTAGGTGATTTTATTTATTTATCTTAAATTCAATGAGCATTGACACCAAAGTAATATTTAATAAGTGTTTCAAACACAGAGAACGTGTTATATAATGTTTTCTCTTGTCTTAAGAAAACTTTATTGAAAATGGTAGTTGTGTTGTTGTTTTCTTTTTATACTAAATAGGAACCAGGACTGGATAATAGCTCTCTAACCACTGGTGAGAGGTGACTGTCATGATTTAAATTAACTAACAAACTGACATTTCTGATTTGTATTTGAAATGCTCTGTTTTAAGTTCTTTTGCATGAAATGAATGTCAATTTTCAGTATTTTATTGAAAGTCCTTCCGTGTTTATTACATAAATGTGCTTTCTCTTATGTTATGGAATGTCCTAATGAAAGTACACTGGTGACATTTCATGAATTTATGTAGATTGTCACATATTAAAATTAGAGGAACATTGAATACTTCATATGCATTTCTTTTAAGAATGTGGGAAATCTTTTTTAATAATTTAATTTTCTTTTTTTTCAAACTCACATTAGCTCTGGTTTTTTTTTTTTTTTTTTTTCAGTTTTATCATTTTAACCCCCAAACTGCATTTTCACAGGATAGAGAACATTTTTTGCGAGTAACATTTTGAATTTGTTCTTCTTGACATCTTTATGTTTTTATGCATTTTGCATTGCCCTATCTCATTTTTTTGAAATCCAAATGTAACAACTTTCAACTTTTTGTGTGACATATTTTTTTCTTTTACTGGGTAGTATCTCTCTCTCTTCTGATTTTTTTGCAAACCTGTTGTTTTTGAATTCTCTTTTTTCCCTTTATTTTCCTTCTCAATATGACCCAGGAGCCAACACAAAGAAAAACGCAGATGATATAACCAGTAATGACCGTGGTGAAGATGAAGGTATTTTTTGTTTTTTCAAAGCTCGACCCTGATGCATGGTTTTATATATCTCTCTCTTTTTTTTTTTTTTTAATTTCAGTCCCCTTTTCCTCCCCTTCTCTGAAACAAGTACACTTCCGTGTGCTTCTTTATTTTCTTCTTGTTTGGCAACCACTGTCCCTTTTAGTCCCAAGGACCTTGTACATGAATGCAAACCACCTGTGAGAACTATAAATGTTTCTAAATATGAAGTGAGTTAAAAAAAAAATGTCATTTACAAGGAAGCCCATCTTTTCCTTTTTCTTTTTCCTTTTTTTTTTTTGGCTTGGTCATAAGAAGAGAAAATGAAATTTTAGAACATGCATGTATATGTTCTTTTCTTCCTTCCAAAGGTTATTTTGTAAGTTATATTGTATTTTGGACCTTTGGTCTTCTTAATTCCTTCTACGTGCTGCCAAACTCTGAGAGACACCTTTGTACAACTTTTTGGGTGTCTGACATTTGAGCTTTTGTTTGTTTCTTTTTCTTTCTTTCTTTCTTTCTTTCTTTCTTTTTTTAAATATATGGATTTAAAAATAGGCTTCAAAGAATCTTCTCTGGCTCACAGTGAAATACATGAAAAAGTATTTTAACGAGATGTTGTTTCTCTGAGGGCTGCTGTTTGGCAGCTCTTAAAGGGGAAGAGAAACAGGGATAGCATAGATCTGAAAACAAACAAATGAAAAGGTCAAAAACTCTAAATCTATCCCTTTTCCTTTTTCCACCCTGGCTCGTTTGAAAGCTTTTTTCACCACCCACCCCCCTCACATGTTTGGTTGCTATGGAAAGTTGCTTTGTAAAGGATCCCAAGTGACGTGACAGACTAGCCACCAGAAGTAAATTCATGTTTTTGACAATATGGAAGGTGGTGGCCTCTAAGCAAGAAGGAACACAAGGTATTTCTATGCCTTCAGCAGAATCAATGGTTTCAAAGAAACGAAAAGGCCCAAACATGTTCCTGTGCAGGCTCCGTATGATGGGTAAGAAGTATATAACTCCCATCCAAGGAGCAAAATGCATGGACCTCCATTTGTTTTCTTTTGAGGACAAAGGCCCTTGAAGAACTTTCAGGTTTGGGGCTGACAGGCAACGTAAAGCAGGGAAGAAGCTGGTGAGTTCTTGCCGCCAGGCAACAACCTCCTAGCTATAGCTTGTGCTGCTGTCTTTGACCTTTCTAAATCAACTGCAGTCCAAGAAGTTTGGCCGATGTTGCTTTCATGCCTGCTTCTCTTCACATTGTTATTATCTTACTGCGGTTGTCATTCCCCTGTGTTCACAGGGCTGTCCATACGTCAGATGTCTGTCTGCGGGATCTTTTGTGATGGCCTTAGGGTAGCATATCCTGCACTGACTCTGCCAGTCTTCGTCTCCTTTGCACACAGCCTCAGAATGCCTGAAGTTTTAACAGAATTCACAAATGTATTTAAACAAAAAAAATTTAATTTAAAAAGTATTCTATCAGATCACATAAAAAGAAGAAAAAAAAAATGTATTAACAAACCCCAAGCCTTTTCTTTGTTCTGTTGCACCAGCCAGGAAGATAATTTGCCTCTTGTTCTGTATTTCTTTTTAGTGCATTTCCATTTGATACGTAGGACCTGTTTTCCCAGTGCTCGAAATGCAACTTCCGTACCATAAAATTCCCCCTAATTTTCACTGAAAGCAATCACTTGTGATTTCTTTTTCTTTTTCTTTCTTTTTTTCTTTCTTTTTTTTTCTTTTTTTTTACTTTGTATTAAGAGGACATCTTGTTATTGCTCCCTCAAGTTCATGAAAATCTTGTGCTATGTGTTTGGAAAGTTCAGAGTTATTAGCTTAGCATTTTTTCCAAGGAAACCCCTTCAGACAGTCCTCAAAATCTCTATTTATTCCTTTTCCACAGTGGAGTAGACAACAGCATGTACTGGAAAAAGAAATGAGGGCAAATCCACTAAATCAGGATCCAGAGAGTGAGAGGAGTAAGTCATGCAGAAGAGCACACTTTTCCAGAAAGCTGTGTCTTTCAAAATTCCACATAGCACATGATGCCTACATGATGAATAAGGGACTTTTATTCTACATTTGAATTTTATTTGACAGAATAAGTATCTGCAGAAACACGGGGCCATGATATTCTTTCCTGTACTTGACTGTGAGCCTTCTGCATGCCCTTAGTGAGGCAGCCAATGAACTCATTTTGACATTGGGATCATAATTCATTTTATTAGCAGCCACCATCTAAATGATAGTGGTTCATTTCCTTAAAACTCCTTTCTGATATGTCAAAAGTGTCTTGGTGAATTAGGAGAGAGGATTAAAAAAAAAAAAACCACAAAAAACCCTTGATTGATAAAAAGGTGAAAATAAATGTACATGGGTACATTTGGGTTTCTTTTGATAAGATACAGGTATTTAAATATTGACATACACCTATGTGTATATATCTCTATATTACGTAGAGAGAGATTCAGAAATAAATATCATTGAGGTCAGTCTTCCAAAACATTCAATATAAGCATAAGGACTGATTAAACAGGTTATGTGATCAATCCCTTTTTAGAAAGTGTTTTCCACAAATGGACACATGGTTTCTGAATTTCTGTTCTCACAGACCATTGCAAAACATAGTTTTTACATCACTGCTCAGTAAAGGAACAAAGGGATGACCAAGGGTACCCACTGGTTGCACATCACAATGGGAGTTTCTAGTCTTCTCTGAAAATACGTAACATTTCACAAATTCCATCTTGAGGCAGGAGTCTTGTGTCATTTTTATTACGTGGCTTTTGTGTTAAATGTGTTGAACAAACACATTTGCTTGGGCATCTTGTTTTGCTTTGTTTTCAGTGGTACTCATTTCTGTTCTGTTGATAATTTTTTGCCCTTTCTTTGGTTTTCATCATCCTCTGTCCCGTATTGAGCATTGACGTCTCACAGCTAGTCTTGTGTGCTCATTGTGAAGTTGAAAATGAATCTGTAAGCTCACCTTTGAATAAAGAGGGCAGTCTTCATAAAGATCAATGATCATTTTCAAGTTGATTTCACACTTACTTTGCGGCTGAAAACATCATGCCATGTGCTTCCTCGATAAGTCAGCTTTTAGGACTTGAGCCCTGTTCAGGAAAGAAGTACTTCATCTAAGTTCTCTATATTTCAGTGTTTTAGATATACAGAGCAATGGACAGATGCACTCATATGACTTCAAATGTCTGTGTCCTTCTCAAAGTACCATTTCTAGGACTAGAAAATATCATCCCGTTGACCACTTTTCTTAGGCAGTCTTATGAAGGTGTCTATAACTCAAAAATGCACACCTGGTTGATTCCGGCCAAAATAAGGAAAAGCAATCCATGTCCCTTGTCCTGAGCCTCCATTAATCAGTGTGATTTTTTATTGTGTTTCCTTACTTGGCTTTTTTTCCAGACATCCATGATCAGAACAGTAAGAAGCCGGTCATGGTCTATATCCACGGCGGGTCTTACATGGAGGGCACTGGCAATATGATAGATGGGAGCGTTCTGGCAAGCTACGGCAATGTCATCGTGATAACCATTAACTACCGGCTGGGCATTCTAGGTAAGTGATTGCGTCGTGTCAAGGCCGCGACAGATGCGGTGACAGACGGGCACTGCTTTCCGTTGTGTGCGGACTGACTGGTTTGAACCATGTTACTCCGATGTGTATGAAGGTCTACTTCTCTGTGCTTCCTCGACAGTGCAAGAAACGTTTGTAGCTCGGTCTGCCTTCTTAGCTTGGTGCTGTTGAACTCTTGAATTATATTTCAGGGAACCCCTGTCCTTCCTCAGACAATGGCAGGCTCCAAGGTTGCCAAAGTAAAATTTATTTAACGTGCTCTTCTTTCGTTGGGTTGTGAGAATACCATGGGAGGCCACACAGCTCTGTAGTGTGGACACCTTTGCTGATGGGTGATCCTTTGGTAAGAGGTGGTGATGGCCATAGACATGGGCTTTCTTCTGTGGTTAAGTAGGTATGTTACTTAGCTTCTCCTGTGTTGGAAAACTTGTCACCTAATTCCTTAACTGATTATCTTCTGTGTGTGTTGGGCCCCTGCTGTTGGGGTCACAAGGACCATTGTATTTGCACACAATGGAGCTCAGCTCTTGATTGAATTTTTGCCAACAGTTTATGATTTACCATAAAAGGACACTGGCTAAGTTCATGGAAATTCAGCAGGGTAGGTAGCTCTCCATTTTCTGATGTTTCCTTCATTTTTCCCCTGTGGAGAGCTTAGAAAAAATACATATTTGGTAGGGGGTAATATTTTCAGATTTACATTCTTTGGTGTTTTGTCTGCTTGTTGTATGTTTTATGACTGATATTCCTAGGGGTGGGTAAATATGTTTTCAAGACAACTATGCATAAACGTGGTGCTGGAAATTGAGTCTTTCACAGTGTGACTCTACAGAGGGAAACATGGATATTGCAGTGTGACTTACAGTAAAATAAAAAAAAAAATAGAGGACACAGTGAAGCTTTTGAAACAAAAATTACGGATGAGAATGATCTCTCCAAATGGGCAAAATTAGCAAGAGTATTTTGTTTTTGCCTTGCTGTTTTAATTTTATTTTAAACATTTTTTTTTCATTTACGTGTGGAACATTCACCGTTGGAGACCCCTGGAGTGGGGGTGACTGGTAGAATTGCATTTCTAATTTAGAAATGCAAATCCCCCACACATGTTTTGCAAAGTTGGGTCTTTTGGAGCATTGAGGAAGCCTTCAAAATTCCTCTTTGGTTTTGTTTGTTTGTTTGTTTGTTTTTTACTTTCAAGGAAATGAAAAGCATTAGCATCAAGAGCCCACTCATTTTGTGATTTTATTTCTTCTTCTTTTTTCAGAGGTCTTATGAGCCAGATCTTGGTAGAATCATTTTAGTTAATCTCATATACCACTGATTGTGTGTGTGTGTGTGTGTCTGTGTGTGTGTATTTTCCAGCAGCTTCTGGCTAGCCCCTCTGGCTACTAGTGCTTGCAACAGGAAATCGAGTTTCTTGATCTTTAACAAAAGGTCCATTCTAACAAAGAGGTGGAGAGAGGAAACAACAGCATTGGAGCCATGAGCAGAGCCTTTTCAAAGAGGGCAGTGTGTGGGGCCCGTGTAACATCATCGTACCAAGGAGGAGCGCCGGGGTCTGTTTTCTGAATGAAGCAACGGACGTTGCACAAGTTCTTGCTACTTGCATTAGCAAAATGTTCTCTTGCATGCGTGATGTATTGATGTTCCCTTAAAAGGTTAGATTTCAAGGGAAATTGATTTTCCCCATGTCAAGCCAATCTGTAGTATGCATCTTGACATGAAGATCTCTGATGAGCTGGGCCAGTTTGTAAAATAATGTGCAGATCTGGAAAATGCTATGAGGGTGAGTCACGCAAACACACACACACACACACACACACACACACATAAATATATGTACATGTATACATATATATAATTTAAGAAAATGCTGTAGGGATTGTGCATATGATTTATATATATAATTTAAGAAAAGAATTTTGCTTTTAGAATCTTTCCCATTTAAAATTTGAAGTTTTTTTGAATTTGAAATCTTTTGGCATTTTTTTCAAATTTGAAATCTTTCGAAATTTGAATCTTTCCCATTGAAAAATTTGGCAACGGAGGGTTAAAAAAAAAAGAAAGAAAGAAATCATGGTACATAACAGAGCTGTAATGGGTGACTGAGAAATCAAAGAATCAATTTAGAATTTCTATGCCAGTCTATTTACATTCCACGAATGAGCTACTGTGGAGGCCCTAAGAACACCACAGACCCCCTTTTATTTGCTGGGGTGAAATGTGCCAACTTTGCTGATTATACACGGGCCGTAGAGATTCTTAAATGTGACTTAGTTGATCTCCATCACGGATCTTGCTAGAGCTCCGATCGTCTTGAAAACTGTCCCCGGCACACACGTTAGCTTTAAGGAAGTCCCTGTTTTCAGTCTTGAGAATTATTTTTAAACTACGGGGATCCAGATATTTAAAACGATGATCAAATAAGACGGCTCAACCCGTGTGGTGACGAACGTCCTAATTAGTGCTTTTGAGACGAGTCGATATGTTTTGAGCAGAATGTTGAAATATTGAGTTTCTTCTTCAAAACGTCGTTAGTGCATAAATGCTCTTTTCCTGTCGAAGAAGTGGAAAGACCGTGCTGGATATCATTATTTTTATGGCGTAATTAATGCTGTTTTTACAACCCAAAAGAGAGGGTTAAAACAAGAGGAGTTATGGGGTAGAAGCTGGAGGCCGGTGCATGGAGTGAACACAGCTTTCAGAATGAGGCAGAAGTGAACTAGCATCTTCCCCATGTTGGAAATCTGAGCTGTGATCATCAGAAAGGCAGCAAATTTCATCAGAATCTCTGTAGAACGTTGTGGTGTTCTCTGCCTTGCAAGGTGATTGTGGGAAGTTTCACAGCCTACAACCAGCATCCAGGACACTGCATCCCTTTGTAATTCCATTCTTATTAACATCACTGGACAGCATATGAATATCATTGTTCATCCCCAGAAGCAGATGCAACTGGTCAGATTTGTAATCGCTAATAACTACAAATACCGTCCTCTAAACTGAGCCTTAATCAAAAAATAATAGTTATAATTATAAGACCCTTGTCCTAGAAATGGGAGGCTCTTCACACTTGCTTTTTGAAATAGGAATGTTTTCTTTAATCAGAACCGTGTGACACAATCCTGCTGGCCATCAACCCTACAACTGACTGGCTAGTCTGGGATGGTTGAGAGCTGTTAACGTGCTGTTAATAAACTGGAATTGTCCCAGGCTAGCTGCGATGTACCGTCACAGCTATAAAATAATTAATTATGCCTACATCAAGGCTAGGGATCGAACTGATGTTCCATTTATTTTCAAAGAAGTTGATCTTTTGTAAACATATTTCCTCTTGGCTCTTCTATACACCTTGGTCATTGGGAAGGCATATGTATCTAACTCTTGAGTTCTATCCAATCGACCTCTTATTTATTATTTTTTTTCATGACAAGTGTCCAGAGATCTTCCGTAGAAAAGAGAAATCTCCTCTCTCGTGCTTTCGGATAGAAATATCTGGAATTTATCTATGGATGCCTCTTGCTTCTCCTTTCCCTCATTAATTGTCTTCCATTTGCCTTTACATCTTAAGTTGGTTAATTCTCCCTCCATTCAAATATCTGTTTCCATGTACCGCCCACGGACTTACTACCTTGTTGGTTACCCTGCCGTGTTATGCCTCTTGTGTGCTTTCAATTATTTTTGCTTCAGAACATTCCGACCACTCTGCATAAGCAGCAAACTCAGGGAGAACCTGCGGTGTGGCCGGCCATGGATGGCTGGAGCCGTTCACTTACTGCTTGCAAACCTCCTTGCAGGGGTTTGCTTACTGTACTTACAAAGAAACAAAAGCCGGGAGGTGATAGGAACACCTCCGAGTGGGTTACCATCCGCTCATTCATTATCAGGGTGTTCCAGTGACCGCAATAGGAAATGTTGCCTGTGGATTTATATAACTGACTTTTTTCCAGGATTCAGAAAGAAAGTACCAGAGACCCCTGCTTGTTTCTTCAGGTGCCAGTAGCTATTCTGAAATTTCTGTCTCAGGGCAGGTTCTGTAGGGGTATGCTGAAGTTGTCTTTAGGGCCAGTAATTACCTACGTTCGCTAAGGTGCGGTGACGCCATGACTTTGACTAGAACACAGAGATGGTCGGAAATAAAGGTGGTCTATTGGCAGAGGAAAAAGGACACAGGGATTAAAATTCATATAGCGATGGGAGCCATATACATGTTGCAATGGTGTGTTCCCCTTGGCAGTTCTGGTCTCCTTGGCGGGGTCTTGGTTTCCATCTGACATCGAGGGTGGGTGGTGGCATTTGGAGATGGCTCTTTGACATCGGTTGGAGGAGTCTTGCTTTAATGCACTTGGTATGTTGGTGTTACATGAGAGATTCCATAAAAGGAGTCTGGGAGTTATTGGGATACAGGACTCACCAATTCCTGTAAACAGCTAGGATGTGAATTGCATATAGTGTGCTTCACGCATGAACATTTCGCCTCCACAACAGCTTGGTGTGGGTCCCTATAATAACTTTATGCACACAGGCCGTCAGGGTGCTCTGCAGAGCCTCTGTCCGTCCCTCTTTCTTTGGGAGTTAAAGATGTCCCTGGCTATTTGCCAATGGCCGTGCTTTATTGTTTCCTTAGACTCTTTGTTGTCTTTTCATTGTTTCTATGTCTTATTAAGGATTTTGTTTTAAATTGCAAAGGGAACCCATCTTATTGATCAAGACAAGAGTTTCATTTAAGTGCATAGATACAAGGAAAAACACAATTTCCTCCTTCAAGGATCTTCCCATCTTGACACTACCCTCCTAACTCCCATTATGTTTCCTTGCAGGTTTGCCCTAACGTGATTTCCCATGGGAAGAGTTGCCCTTGTTTTATTTACTTTTTTATTTTAAAGATTTTATTTTATTTTGCGCTTGTTTGTTTTTTATTTTAAAGATTTTATTTATGTATTTCAACCTAGATGGAGAGAGCATGAGCAGAGGGGAGGGGCAGA